ATAGCGGGCCCGCTATAGCATGTAAGCATGAACCTGCCCCCTAAGTCCCCCCTAAGTACCCCCTATACAAAAATGAACGATATTTTCGGATTCCCCATGCAGGAAAACCCCCTAGGACCGCAAATCAGTTGAAGCGTTGCCTTCTTGACCGCTATGGGAAGCATGGTATAGCGGGCCCGCTATAGCATGTAAGCATTGGTAAGCATAAACTTTGACAGGTCATAACTTTTTTCATACATGTCCGATCAACCTATAATTTGGGGGTTTTACTCAACTCTACAGGGGCTATCACATGATACCAAACAATACCGGATACCGAAAACTTTTTGGCGGACGGACAGACACCAGCGCTTTAGTGTATAAGGATTCACCAAGGCGCTAGCCATAGTTACACTGAATCCCTTTAGTGGCAAGTATGCACATGCGCTCGTTGTGTTGAAAGTTTTAATCCGCTTAAATCATCGTTTTATACAATGGCGATTCTTGTGAACGCGTTAATTAGCTTTAGTACTCGTCCTAGTGTACGTCACGCCAGTTGAACGGTCTGTTGGACAAGCGACGTTGTCGAGGAGCTTCGTGTCATCTTCGAGCTGGTCTTCGCCAGGCATCGGTTCACCGGCTCACTCTGAAACGACATGTTTTTCTATTAGCATCCGAAAAGGGCAATCTCTAACCGTTATCTTAACGCCTTTCTCGCACTGCGCGGTCTTCGCGGAGAAATTCCTGAACTTGCAGTTGAAGAGGATGTAGATCCAGGGATTCACGCAGGAGTTCAGGTTGCCCAAGATCACTATGTACGTGATCATTGTTGAGCCTAAACTGCGCAATTCAGTCAAGGCCTAGACTAAACCTGTAATGAAGCGGAGCCTCAGAACTCTCGGAACTCTTCTTGCTCTTCCTAACGTTGGTCATCCTCAGAGAACGCTTCGCCAGACACCGAATTGCCAGTTGACGGGAACCCGATTCTGAGGAGAATCGGCCCCTATTTATTCACAATACTAGAGACTACAACTACAACACATAACTGATAAGATAACAAGCACAATGTAGAGTGTATTTTGAGTTGACGTACTACCGTCGTACCGTATCCTAACCCTTGCGGGGCCACTACACGCCTCCCCTCGGGTGTGCGGTCGCCTCTGACCGCTAATTTTGAACGATGGGTTCAAAGAACAACAGTTCAATGAGTGGGGTAACTAAAATGGAGTTGAGGCCTACAAATGGTGTCCATTGTGTGCTTGTTCGTTCGAAGTGGGGTTCCATCGTCTAGCTGGTGTCTTCGGTGTCCTGGTTCGGCGTCTCGTCTCGGTCACTTCCGATGCTTGCTCCCTCATCGCTAAGACCATCGTCATCATGTGCGCCTTCTGCTGGATCGTCCATCGCGCGTAACGGTAGCGTCGTTGCCTCGTTGTACAACTTGACTTTGTCAAGATGCACTTTCTTCGGTCTCGCATCTTCGGACAGTTGACGTACTACCACGTTGGGCCTCTCCACGCGGAGTACGCGATAAGGCCCGTCCCATCTAGTGGTGAGCTTTCTGCACTCCTTCGGATTTGGCTGGTCCCGATAGATCAGCACGAGGTCAGTTGGCTGGATCTGGTGTTCTGCCGTCTTCCTCTGTCCGTCGGCGTACGTCTTCTGCTTCGACTGCGCATCTCTCATCGTCTCGGCGGCGGTCATCCAAGCGTTTCGGATCGCTTCAGACATCTCTTGTGCGTAAAGCGTGGTGGTCTCATACAAGTTGCGCGGTTCGATGCGCATTGCGAGATCTGTCGGAAGGGTTGCTTCTCTCATTCGGAGAAGGTAAAATGGGGACTGCTTCGTACTTGCCTGCACAGCAGTGTTGTAGGCAAAAGTTACGAGCGCTAGATAACGGTCCCACTGCTTCCCTTCCTTGTCCACGTACGCGGACACCATATTGGCTATGGTGTGGTTCTGCCGTTCGACCATCCCGTTCGCTTGCTGATGGTACGCCGTCGTCTGCACATGAGCGAAGTTGTACAGCTTCGCGAGGTCGGTGAATATCTTTCCGACAAAGTTTCGTCCTTGGTCCGTGACAACTGTCCGTGGGACAGAGTGCTGGCAGATCACGTGTCTTACAAAAGCGTCGCTGATGACGCTGGCCTTCTGGTTTGGCAGTTCGACCGTGATCAGCCACTTCGAAAAGCTGTCTATGACCACGAGCACGACCTTGTTCTGTCGCTCCGTCTCCGGAAATCCGCAAAGAACATCCGCATGAACACGGTCGAATGGATGCTTCGCGACCGGGATCATGTGGATCGGCTCCTTGGAGAGCACCGCGGGTGGTGACTTCCTCTTCTGGCAGACGTCGCATTGTTTGACGGTCTGGTCGATGTCGTCCCGCATGTTTGGCCAGTAAAAACGCTGCATCAGTCGTTCGCGGGTTTTTCCCATCCCGAGGTGTCCTCCGATCAGCGGGTCCTCGTGAAACTTCTTGATCAGCTGCTGCCTTAAGCTGTATGGCACGACAATACGTCGCACATCGTCATCGTCGTCTGCGGTGTAGTGCAGGATGTCGTTGTGCACGATGTAGTTTCCAACTTCCGCCAGGAGTCGTCGTCGTTCGGTCTCCTCACCTGGTAGCTTCTTGTGCTTGATGGCATCGTAGAGCTTCCGGTATTCGGGCAACATCTTCTGCTCCTTTCGGACTTCCTCTGCTGTCAGACGATCATCGTCCTTTTGCTGTGCAGCCGTTTGTGCTCTGGTGACGGCGCTAACACTCTCGCCTGGGTAGCGACTTAGAAAGTCACAAAACGTGTTTGTCTTGCCCGGTCGGTGCTCGATCTTGACGTCGTACGACTGAATGGACATCTTGTACTTCGTGAGTCGCGGTGTCAAATCAGTCTTGCTGACCAGAGACGCAAGTGCGGAGTTGTCTGTGCGCACGAGGGTTTGTCCTGATCCAATGATTTACGCGGCATATTCCTGTAATGCGAAGACAACCGCCAACGCCTCAAGTTCAACGGACGGGTACCGTGCTTCGTGCTTGTTTAGCAGCCTTGAGGCATACGCTACAGGATGCAGTTCTCCGTCTTTCGGATCCTTTTGCATCAGACAAGCGGCGATAGCCGTGGCGCTGGCATCGGTTTCAATCACAAACGGCCGTCCCAGTCTTGGTGCCACGAGTACTGGTGCGGTCGTCAGCTTCTCTTTGATGGTCTCAAACGCCTTCGTGTGCTCCTCTTTCCAGAGTGTCACGGAAGCATCTTTCTTCGTCAAGGCGTACAGCGGCTGCATTATTCCTGCGAAGTTTTGGATAAATCTTCGGTAGTAGCTCGCTGCGCCTATGAATGACCTTAGCTCGGTGATCGTCTTCGGTTGTTTGATCGACTTCACGTTGATGATGTTGCCTGGATCTGGTCTTACGCCTTTTTGAGACACGAGAAAGCCCAGGTATTTTATCTCGTCAGAACCAAGCGTACACTTGTCCAAGCGAAGTTTCATGTTATACTTAATGATCACACGAAGAAATTCTTCGATGTCCTTCAAATGCTTTTCCTCTGTGTCGCTGCTGACCACGATGTCGTCCAGGTAAATCAGCACGGTTGCGGACATCTCTCGTCGCAAGGATTCCATCACGCGCTGGAAGCTTGCAGGTCCATTGCAGACTCCAAACGGCAACTGCAGGAACTCGAAGAGCCCCAGGTGCGTGGCGAATGCAGTGTACTGTGTGTGCTCTGGGTGCACGGGAATCTGGTGAAATCCGGACATCAAGTCGAAACTGGAGTAGTACTTGTGTCCGGCAACCAAGTCGATGATGTCATCAATCCTCGGAAGAGTAGCCGTTTCCTTCACCGTGATGCTGTTCAGCCGTCTATAGTCCACTGCAAAACGCCATGCCCCGGAAGCCTTTTTTACTAATACCACGGGTGAGCAAAACGGAGAGTTGCTCGGCTTGATGATTCTTTGCTTCAGCATGTCTTTCACTTGACGTTCGATTTCTTCACGAAGTGCCAGCGGAGTTCGGTATGGTCGAAGCTGGAAGGGTTTGCTTCCTGCGACCAGATCGATCCGGTGGCGGTAAGATCCGTTGTACTTCCCGATCAGACCATCCTCTGCGGCAAACGCTTGGTGAAGCTTCCGGATAATCCATCGGAGTTGTGTTTTGCCGGCAGGCGTCAGGATTGATTTGCTGAGGTCCAGCTTCTTCGCCAACTGTTCTTCAAGCGGCGGCATCTTGTCAGGTATCTTATCCGCCCAATTGGCCTCTGGTGGAATGTAGTCCGCTGTCGGCGAGCACTCACCAGTTGCTGCCGCAACTGTGTGTACAGGTTGGGTCACGTTCGTTACGAGTTCTAGTTCGGCGAGCGTCGATCCTTTGTAGATTTTTATTGGTGCGTTGCCAGGATTCATCACGCGGAGCGGAAAGCATCCTCCTTGAGCAACAGTTGCCAAAACGTAGCCGACCATCAAGTATTTGTATGCGTTTGGCCATCGTTTGGTAGTGTACACCTTTCCTGCTTCCGGTGTTGCGTTCTTCACGGTGCCTTTGATGACGTTGTCCGATCGCGGAGGGATTACAATAGTTTCGCTCGCGTGTACCGTAATAGGTTCCGGCTCTTCCTCAACAGCGCAACTAAGCAGCTTCAGTTCTTCGTCACCGAGCGATACCGTGTTAGTGTCCAGGTCAATGCAAACCTTCCTTTTGCCTTCAGGGATCTGTCGAATGAAGTCCATACCAAGCACGACTGGTGCAGGGCAATCGCTGTCGGGAGACACTTTCATGGTAAAGTCAAGCGACGTCTCTCCGTAAGCGATGTTCGTCCTCAGCGTCCCCAGAAAATTGATTCTTGAGCCGTTCGCTGCTACGGCAGGTCGCAGCTTGTTTTTTCTCAGTGGCAATCCGATAGTCCTTGCCACAGAATCTCGGCAAAAAGTAATCGAACTGCCGCTGTCGACAAGAGCATCGAACGGATGGTTGCGGATGTAAACCCGCACCTTCATCTGCCTTGGTGAAATGGGTTGCGTCAGTGGAGAAAACACCGTAACATTGTGGGTAGTATCGCGTTAGTTTACCACTTTGAGTATTGCTAGCAAGGATCGGTTGTTCGTTGTAGTCGTCAGCAATCGCGTTGACCATCGGGCGTCGGTTGCGGCGTCGTCGCGACCTTCTTCTTCGAAGCAAAGCCTGTATGCATGGCATCCACCACGGTGCCGCATAGCAGCAAGCCACGGCCAAGCCAATGACGATACAGACTGTTATAACGGCGGTCACGTAATGGTACCATTGTTGGAACAAACGGTCGAACGACCAAGGCAAGTGAATGCGCTTGATGCCGTCCTCCACAGCGTGTACCGTAATGTTCGCGGCATCAACAGCGTTGTGTACGAGAGTTGCTTCGTTCTGGCCGGCAGCGTAGTTTTGCATCTTTTCGAGGGTCTTCTCCATCCTATTAAGCCGGTCAACGTATGAGGATAGCATCGTAATGCTAGCCTCTGCCTTTGCAAGATCGGAATTAAAGAGCGATGGTGCGTTTAACGTGAAACTTCGGTAATGTCCGGGGAAGCGCAGCGTGTGCTCGACAGATGTGACGTGCACCGATTGGCCGTTGTGATTCCTCCAACTTCCGTCAACGTCTCTGAAAACCGACGGCGATGTCCTGTCGCACGGTACTTCGCGTGACTGAGTCATTAAGTCGTTCGATCCCTCGCTAATGAACCATCTTCGTCCACGGGCTTCTATAGGTACGTCAGCAAAGCATGTGTTGTTAACCTTACGCGTCCAGTAAATTTTTTCGGGCGTAACAACGGTGCATGGTCTGATGGCTAACACCTGGCCGGCTACGGTGGCTGAGACATCAGTTCGTCCAAGGATTTTACGTGCTCCGGCCGTCGCGTCTAGCCCAACCAGTGTTTTCGAAGTGTGGATTTCTTCGTTGTTTAGGTGGCACACCTGTTTCCACAGTCTTCGGAAGTTAGCGCTGCTTTCACGCTGGAGCTCTTCAGCCAGGAACTGTAGTCTCGCTTTCAGATCACGCATCGAATTGGTTTCGGCTTGAGGTTGTACTGGTACACTTGCCGAAGACGGTCGGTCACGGGTAAAACGCTGGCTATGTAATGTCCGTCTGAACGGTGGTGGTTGAGTAGGCTTTGCCGTTAGCCTTGGTTCAGTCGGCACAAGCTTCCATCGTTGGGTTGTGTACACGGGATGCCAAGTTCGCCTCGGCGTGCTTGGCAGCCGAAGCGTCGTTGCTCTGCCAGTGCGAATTATTGGCGTGGTTGGCCGGTATGCTGGCACGATTTTGCGTGTTGTCGGCGTCGGTTTGCGGAATGTTGGCGTCGCTCTGCGTGTTGTCTGAACCGTTTTGCGAGTTGCTGGCACATCACGCTGAGTTGTTGGCGTCACGCGGCTTTTGTGTTTGAGCGTCGAACGTACCTTCGTTGTGCCCCGTGTTGGCCTTGCAACATTGTAATGGAAGTAGAAGTGCTGTCCTCCCCGGCTCTTGGACTGCTGGAGTGCGGTTTTCTTCGTCTGTTGGTTATGCAGAAGGCTGACTTCAATAGTATCGTCATCCGATGGTTGTCCATAGTCCATACTTCTGCGATTTCGCTGTTGCAGGATCCTCATGTACGCTCCGTTCTCAAGTTTTATAGCGTCGCTTGGGAGGCAACTTGTGGTAGTGTCATGGGCCTTCGTCTGGTTCGTCGCCACAACGAAAGCAATTTGGACATCGTCTAGTAAGACGTGGTCCCTCGCTTTCCTTGCTTGGAATGTGCCTGCAAGCTCGTAGCGGCACATCGCTTCGTTTTTTGGCGGTGTCCAGATAAGCGTCGTTCGTTCGTCGCGGCAGTATCCTGCCGTCAGCGGGCATCCTATATGTTGTACCAGGTCGGAGATGACATGTTTTCCGTCAGTTGTTCCGACACTCCCGTTTTGGACCACGAGATTCCAGACCTCGGCGCATTTTTCGCCCCAGAACGTCCTGGGTGCAGACCCATGCTTCGTCGTGCTCCAGATACCGTTTCCTGCTTCTTTCCACGAGCCATCTGTCTTGTTCAAAGCGTCCTGCACCATATGGCGACATGCTTCCCTCGGTACGGAATACTTCTTGAGCGGCGTTATGTACGCGTCCGTAATGATGCCAAAGATGGAAATGGCGCATGCGCTGGTAGTCACATTCGTACACGAAAATGCATTGACTACATTCGCAGCTGTCTTCGGGACGTATACTTCAACCGTGACGTTTTCAAACTTTCCCTCGGACAGCAGCGTACAGTTGCTTTCCGTTGGCATTCGTAGGTAGTATGCTGGTGCCTGCGGATGGCAAACCTGGTACGGTCCCTCGAGAGCATTGATGCCAAAGAACGGTCCAGTTAGAGCGAGTATCATCATTAGCGGCAGGACAGCGTTCACAAAGCCTCCTCTGTTGCTAAACCGTTGTCCTTGGCCGCGCGGTTGATTAGACCCGCGACCGTTGTAGTAGCCACCGCGTTCGTTGTTGAATCCTCCGGAACGTCCTCTTTGCCCGTCAAAACGGTTTCCTCGGTTGTAGTCCCTCGGTCGTGATTGGCTTCGCTGGTCTCGTTCGAAGCGCACGCGTCGGTATTGCCCTGCGTTACCGTTGTAACGCCCTCGTTGGTAGTTTCCGTTGCCTCCGTACTGTCCTCGCCGATAATTTTGGTAATTACCGCCATTCTCGTAACGTCGTGGTGGTGGCGTTGGACCTCGGTAACGCTGAGCGTCATAGTTATTACGTCCATAGTTGTTTGGGTATGAGCTGTTATGGAATGTTCTCTGGTCACGCCTTGGTTCCCACTGGCGTCCTCGCTGAAAGTTGTTGTTGTTTCCAGCGACAAAGGCAACCTGTTGAAGATCTCCGCGTAAGTCTTCCAGTTCTTCACGAAGTTCCTTCGCGGTTTGCTCTGCCTGGACGGCTGCAACCGTCGCCTCGTTCACTACACGATCCTTACGAATGGTTTCCTGTAGGCGTTCTTCGTCAATAGCCTTCGTTATCGTCTCTTGGAGTGTCGCGGGACGCTTGTCCCGTAGGAGCACCTCCTTAAGAGATGGCCGTAGACCGTTGATGAAGTACTTTACCTTCTGCGCTTCAAGGTATTCGTCAGTGTGTGGCTTCGTTCCATTGATCATAACGCCTTTCGGAAAAGCGCGGTTTACAAGGCGGCCGATTTCCTTCGCAAAGTCAATGACCGTCTCTCCAACACCTTGTTTCCTGTTGGAGAGCTCCGCTTGTTCCAAAATGGTATCGTCGTCGCGCTTTAGCGCCAGGGCCATGCCGTCTACAAGCTTGCTCCAGTCGTCCTTCACGTCGTTGCCTAGCTTGTTATAAAACAGGCGCGCTTCTCCTCTTAGTGCGATGGGCATCAGTCCACAAAGACGTTCGTTGTCGAATCCCATCACCGCTGCGTACTCGTACAAGTCGTCAAGAAAGTCACTCCATGTCTTCTTATCCGAGCGTCCTTCAAACAAAGGAAGCTTCACTTCGGGTAATCCGAACCGTGATGCATTCATTCGTTTTTGCTTTTGCAGTTCTTCCTTAAGAACCTTGACATCGTTCTTCAGAGCGTCCATTGCTGCGGCCTTTCTTTGCCGAAAGCCGTCCAACCACTCGCGTGCGACTTTCTCAGCCGTGGGTGATATCTTCGGGGGGTCCTCTTGGTTTGACTCCGTTTTCGCCTCGCCTGACTTCGCTTTCGCCTCGCTTTCCGTCTGATTGGTCTCTCTTCCTCTGGAAGCGAACCGATCTTAGTATCGCCTTTTGCCCCCGAAGAGTTAGCGCTCTTTCCTCCGCGAAAGAATCCAAGGACCCGGGGCCAAGGCGAGCCGGTTTTGCGTGGTCTTCCTCTTCCTCGTTTCGCTTGTCCTCGTGCGGAGCTGGGTGTCGCTTCGGGTACCTCGTCTTCCGGTTCCGAGTCCTCAAATCCAGCGGAATTCGTGGCGAGACTTCGGAAAAGGCTGACAAAGAGTTCGACGTGTGCCCACGTCGGTTTCCCTTCGAGTGCCTCGCGAACCTTCCTTGACACTTCGTCGGACGCTTTCCTCTCGCTTTCGAGTCCCTCACAGTTATCCGTCTTCGTCTTCGGACGTCGTCGCGGTTGTCGTCGTGTGCTGCACGTCGACTGGTGCCGAGTGGAATAACCGAGCCGCTTATATGCAGCTTCGGATGGCTCTTATCAGGTCGCCGATAAAATAGGTAATTAATGACGTCAATAAGGCGGAGCTTTCGGTTGGTCGCGGGTCTTCTGAGCGGGGGCGGAGCTTGCGTAATGAGGCTAGTGGTCCTGATCTTTGGCCATATTTGATGACCTTTTGCCTCGCGTTATGTACATGCCGCACGGCTTTTGGCGTTCTGTCCATGCGGTTATGGTAGCGCCTCAAACCTCAGCATGACCGTTCACAAAGCCGGTCAAATTTCACATGTTGGCATCATGCAGTTCAGCGCCAGTCAGCGGGTTTGTGTCCTATGCGTCCAGCAATTGACTAAGTGCCCTTTTTGAAGTCGAAGGACAGGTATATTACGGCACTTAGAAGAAATACAGTGCTAGTGGAAAGACACTGTATCTTCCCGCGTCGTTCGTCGAAGGTTTTGCGTCAATGTTTAAGCCCGCGATAGTTACATGGGTGGTGCGTGTGGGCCGGGTCCAGGTCCGGTACTGTCCGGTCGGCCCTCCCCTGCTACCGCCTCGAGATTCTCGCGTGTGACTTCATCGCTTTATCGGTGAAACTTGCGTTATGAGGGGGGGGGGGGGGTTCCGTTACGGCCCGG